TTGTTAGTAGAGATGCCTACAAGAACGTCTAAAAATGGAATTTTGGAAGGCGAAGTTTCAAAAGTAAATTTAATGTTAGAATGGAAGTTGTTAGCATGTGATTTGAAAGCATTGAGGGTATCTTCACCGTGGGGCCAAATGAAAAAAATATCATCAATATAGCGAGCGTAGTGAAGGGGTTTAAGGTGAAAGGATGACATAATAGCCGTCTCAATCTCGTGCATAAAAACATTAGCATAGCTAGGAGCCATTTTCGTGCCCATAGCGGTCCCCTTAATTTGAAGATAGTAACTGTTGTTAAAAGTGAAATGGTTATACGTAAGAATGAATTTAGTAATGGCAATGATATCATTAATATGTTCGGCTAGCACACATTGTTTAGAAAGGAAATTATTAAGTGCTTGAATACCTTCTTCATGAGGGATGTTAGTATAGAGCGAAGTGACGTCCATAGTGACTAGGAGAGATTGGTTAGGTATATTAGTTATAATATCAAGGATTCTAAGAAAGTGCGTAGTGTCTTGGATGTAGCTAGAGATATTAGGGAGTAAGGGGTTGATAATGGAATCAACAAGGCCAGACAGATTTTCAGTGAGGGTACCTATGCAGGAAACGATCGGTCTACCAGGGGGAATGATATTGAGCTGTTTGGATAAATTAAAAATTTCAATAGGCTTAAGTGCTTAATTTTATTCTCTACAAATTCCTTCTGTAATCAAATTAGCAACATGTTTCTCAAAAGTGTCTTATTTGAAGAATAAGTGAAGCTATGCATTTGTAATTTACACTGACGAATCAAACGACATCCAAACCAGAATAAACGGCTACTAAAAAAGTCAGCCATCGTAGAAACTTGCTTTGAGTTTCGTCTTCATTTCAGGTTGATTCCAATTGATTTTTTCTGGAGCGATAATGCACTTTATTAAACAATGGAAGGCGCAATTTTCACTTGATCTAACCATGTTATAGCAGTACGCTATTGGGACTAAGAAAGCAGTACAAACGGTTCATTCACAGGGTGGTGTTGTGCTAGGCCTACATCATTAATAGTTGTTAAATTAAATTAGCATAATTTCTTTTTGTTTTAAATTTATGTTTGCGATTTGATTTTTCTTCTTTGCCAATGATAGCATAAACTGCAGAGTGATCACTAATTCCGGTGGTAAGCACACCAGAGCAAGACATTTTTTTTGGAAACGTGTAAATATGATCAATCATGGTGCTACTTTGTTCAGTTATTCTTGTTGGTTTATTTATAATTTGAGTTAAAAAGTGGTTGTTAGTGATTTCTATTAACCTATTTGTAAAACAAGAAGGATTTGTGAAAGTGTATCACAGTTTAAGTTTCCTATTATTATTAATTCTTTTTCAGAGCCTTCAATTTCTTCTAAAATTTGTTCAAATATATCAGAAAGTTTAATTTTGGAGTTTGGTGGACGATACCAAGCTATCAATAATATCTTCTTAGAATTTTGTTTTGCAATTTCAATGACTAGTACTGTAGTTCAAGCTCTTTCTTCATAATATCACTTCTTAGTTTACAGGCAAAACCTCCGGTGTAAACACCAAGGATAGCCTACGAAAGAAGACTAAAAAAATAACAAACATGCAAGAAAAAAAAAAATAAAATAACAAACATGCAAGATGAATAATAAATATAGGAATAAATGAATATATGAATATAAATGAGTACTCACTGTACTGACATTCTGGCCCAAAGTGACTCGAGTCACATGTACAGACATAGGAAAGACAGAATGCGGCGCTGGTGGAGCACGTCCCTGCATTCTGACATGGAATGCTACTACAAGGATCAATAGCTACAAGAAACAATTACAAACATTATAATCATTGTTTTATTAGGAAAATATAAAGCTTTTCCCACTGAGTGTTATGTGACATGATTTGTCCATTATGAGTGAGATATGACATCACCATGTACATATAAATCGATGTGACATTTATTTATTTTATTTATTTAATCTTTCTTTATACTGTGGGCACTTTCAGTACTAAAGTACTGATTTTCAAAGTGGTACAGTGACAAGAAACATATACAATAGAAATAAAGACAAAGAATAAAATAAAATTGGAAAATGATTTAAAATGATTTTGGAATGAAAAAGTTGACATCTCTTTAAAATTAATTTTTAATTTGTGTGGTAGTTCATTCCAGCTTTTGGATGATCGATATAAATTTTTTTTTCCCTGTCCAATATTATACATTAGAAGAACCAGGTTGTTATGGGTTTGGCTGTGTGCCTTTAGAATGGGTAGTATTGTTAAAGGTAAATTTTGAAGACAAATATTGAGGGACATATCTTTTTAAGCATTTGAAAGTCATAAGAAGTAATTTTTCATTCCAAATCACATTAATTTTTCATTCCAAATCACATTAGGTCTATTCTATCCAAGGGCACTTAAAATATAATCAACAGGATCCTTAATATCAACAGAGAGTAAAATTCTACCTAATCTATTCATAAGAACTTGTAAACAATTAAAATTTTGAACATTACTATTAGACCAGACACAACAACAATAATCGAAAAGAGGAAAAATTAAAGCATTTGCTAACATTTTAAGCGTATAAGAAGGAAGAAAATATTTAGTACGTCGGATGACAACAACATGCTTTAAAACATTAGATGAAATATTGTTTATATGGTCTTTCCAAGTTAACTGTGAATCAAAGGTGAGGCCAAGGTATTTAAGTATTAACTCTTTCAATTGTATCACCATTGTGAAAAAAAATAACTAAGAGTAATTCAGTTGCAGAGGTACCTTATTTAAGTATTATATAATGCTAAAAATGAGGCTCTTGTAGCCTAGCTAGACAAGGCATCCATGTGCAAAGCAGTAGTGTTTGTTTATCCATGAAAAAAGCACGCCGGGAAAGTTTGCCTTACCAGGAAAAGGTGACGTAATCTAGCTTATGACGTATGCATGCTAAATACATTGTGAGTGTGATATCACCAAAAAATGAATATTTTTTATTATAACTAAAATATTAATAACTACAAGGTTTCTGGGCGTAAATTCCCTTAAAACAAATTAAGGGTTGCACAATCTCCTTGCCACACAAATTACAGCGCCCACTGACGTCTCAGTCGAGAAATACTGCGTAGCTGAAGTTTTTCTCGAAAATCTGACTATGAAACCATATCGAAATATGTTTTGCTTCACACTCGCCGCTGAGGGCGGCGTTCCGGGAACCCTGCGTCAATATTACACGAACTTGTTTTAATGGTAATATAAAGAATATGATGTGCCAAATATCTAATATCAATATGAGATATAAGTATAAGATATACTACAATCAAATATTAAGAATCACTAAAAAAAAACTCATTGAAACACTGAATTACAAATAAGCTTTAAACTTTCAATGAGTGAAAGATCAAAACAGCTTACAGATAGAGCAGAAAGGTCCAGAATAACACCCTTGGCAAATACAGGTGTATGCATCACGTGTAATAAATTACCATTCCTTGCCTTACTTTAACATATTTAATACATAGAACATTCTAGAATAACATTTAATTGATCAAAGAAACAGTGTAAACCACATTGGTAATTGTAGGAACACATGACACCATGTAGAATCCAAGAGTAATATATGGAAGCTTCTGGAATCTTGGGTACTGTAGAGGCAAATAAGTCTAATTGGTTAATGATGATGTAAGGTGACCAATGAGGAACTTAGGCAATAGAGAATGATCTTGAATGCTCTGGAATAGTGCAGCTAGGGTATATAAGCTGACAGTTTTATCTTTCTGGAGCTCTTTTTTGAAACACATGTTTATGTGAATGTTATTGGGTTATTTTGATACCGGATTCTTGTTGGAGTGTATACAGAATAAAAGTTTATTTGAGAGTTGTTTTACAACATTGTGAGCTGTGTTTATATTTTATATGTCAAAGAGGGATTCCTAGTAATTTCTATACCGCTCGGAAAATACGTCAAGTAGGAATTCACGACACACATGACCCATGTGTCCTCTCACACACTGCTCAATTTACACACTGGTTTACGTCTTGAGTCACTCATTACACTTTTTCAATATATTTATATCATTCGTTTTGCTTAAGTCACTTAATGCACATATGTCATTCTCCTAAGGGGATAAAACGCATCCTTGTGGAGCCCCTGTATTAGATATGACACATCTTGATAGAGAATCGTTAATTTTTACTCTCAGTGTACGATTACTTAAAAAATCATTAATCCATTGAGATATTAGTGGGTTTACATTCATGCTTACAAGTTTCTGAATTAATATATCAACCCGCATAGTATTGAAAGCCGAGCTAAAGTCAATGAATAAGTTTGGCATAAGTTTTAGGCTTATCTAAATGTTCAAAAATTGGGTGCAGAAAAGTAGTTATTGCATCCTCCACACCCTTCTTTGCAGAACAGGCAAACTGGTATGGGTCAACAAATTGCTTAACTTCCTCAACTACAATATCCTTAACTACTCTCTCAAAACATTTCATAACTACAGGTGTCAAAGCAACAGGCCTAAAATCATTTAGTACAGAGGGTTTGGTTATTTATTTACTGGTGTAATAATAGATGATTTCCATAAGGATGGAACACATGACGAATTTAAGGACCAATTGTAAAGTTGTGAGAAAACTGGTGCTAGTTCTTTATAACATAATTTGAGTATCTTCCCAGGTAACATATCTGGCCCTGCTGCCTTGTTTGTTTTAATTATCCTGAATACTTTCTCAACCGATGTGTTGCTAATAATCAACTCATCAGCATTCTTGGCGTTATTTAGAAGGGTACGTTTTAGTCTGTTGGTCTCCTCATGCGACTGTGACGCATTATTAAATCTGTTAAAGAAGTCGTTTAGGTTGTTAGCGAAAACTAGAGGATCGGTACCCACTGGTAGTTTGATGTTCTGTTTCTTGTTATCGCCAATAACCTTCTTTAGTCCGTTCCATGCTTTTTTAGAGTTTCCATATTTGAAATCTTTTATACTCTCTCCAAATTTTCGCTTTGCACGCCGTATTAAAAGGTCGATTTCTTTCTGAATTAATTCATCCTCGCTCTGTCATTTTCATCCAATGCCTGTTGTTTTCCCTTTAAGAGGCCCTTAATTTCTTTGGTAATACAGGGTTTACTGTTTGGATAAATTTTTATGACCTTCTCTTTTATTATTGTTGATACGCAGAAAGTAATATAGTCGCTAATAGAGTTTGTCGCTATTTGAGGTAAAGACATTCCAGTCTGTGGACTCAAAACACAATTTCAGTTCTGCTATGCTCTCGTCTGTCCATAAATTGACTCTTTTTATGACAGGTTTACGTGTTCAATTTGCTGTTTGTATGCTGATATTAACCAAATCATGTCATGGTCAGACCGACCTAAACCAGCTTTCCTCAAAGCTTTGTAGCCATTTCTGATATTTCCGTAACATTTATCTAGAGTTCGGTTCCCTCTGGTGGGTATGTCGACATACTGGTGGTAATGCGGTAATGCTTTCTTTAATTCGCAAGTGTTGAAATCGTCAACTTAACAGAATCTGGGGATTTTGTTTCAAGATCTTGATGTATGTCATGTAGCAGTAATGACACAGCTTTTGTATCTGATTTTGGATGAATGTATGCTACGGAGATATAGATTTGGTTGAACTCACGTGGTAAATAAAATGGGCGTAAGGCAACGGTTAAGAGTTCAATGTTTGGTGTGCAAAGTTTATGTTTAACTGATATGTCTTTACACCATCTGTCATTGACATAAATACAAATGCCGCCACCAAAAAATTATCTTCCTGAGTCAGATAATAAATTCCAAAATTCCAAGCCTTTATTTAGATAAGCATTTTGTATAGTAATACAGTTGGCAATCAAGGACCAATGGTCCGTGTTTGGTTGAACATAAATTTTCCAAGACGAGTCAAAGTTCTTTACTTTGCGATTGGGTGTCACAATTGCTACAACTGATTGCAAGGCGAAGCTAGTCTGAATGGGGTACTAGTATAGCACTACATTACATTACAAAGAGAAGGACTATAGGCCTAGACAAATAAATGAACTCACGTTCTTGGCATATTGCTCCTGTCCAACATTCCGGGCAAGTGCAAGTTAAGGCTTGGCAGTTGGCAGTCATGACACATGTAGCCCCATTCTGACATGGACTAGCATCACATCTGTCCACAGCTACAAACAAGAAAAAAAATTTCATGTATATAAAATATTGGTGGTGATTTTGCCAGTGTTCTTCCAGCCTTGATTTAAAATTGGTTAATTTTCTGAATTCACAACTTCATCCAATAAACTACTCCAGTCATTCATCATTCTCGCTTAACTTTAAACTTATCATAATATATATTATTGTTATTATTCAAAGTTTATGTTTAACTGATATGTCTTTACACCATCTGTCATTGACATAAATACAAACGCCGCCACCAGACAGTTTCCCCGATTCAAGCTATTCAAGTCCCTTGGTTAAAATATCACTATTGAGCCTATTATTGATGGAAAATGCTTTGAATCTGTAAAATAGAATGTATGTATGCTGTACTGATACAAGAGAAGCAGGAAGTATTTTAGTAATATTCATGGTAAAAACATTCGTCACCTCACATTGAACAATACGTTTTTATAATATTGAGCATATCACAGGTTGGTAGTAAGACATTGTTAAATACAAAACTGGTCTCTGGCACAATAGCACCTGTTTGCTACTGTTCACGACAATTTTAGAAATAGAAAAAGTTATCTTCCTGAGTCAGATAATAAATTCCAAGCCTTTATTTAGATAAGCATATTGTATAGTAACACAGTTGGCAATCAAGGACCAATAGTCCGTGTTTGGTTGAACATAAATTTTCCAAGACAAATCAAAGTTTTTGAGGTGTACTCTTTATGTTGTGGGGTGGGGGAGGAAGGGCAGGGAGGCCATAATGCATATTATACAGTATTGTATAATGTATAAATGTAAATTCTGTCAATAAAACAAGCAAAAATTCACAGAAATGGAATACAAGACCTCACCTGTCATACAGTTTTGCCCCGTATAACAGGAGTTACATTGACAAGTGTAATCGACACATCCGACTCCAAGCGGAATACAGGCTCCACCATTCTGACAAGGTAATGCAGCACACTGATTCACACCTGAGATGGAAAATTGGGAATATCAAAATATGATACATTTTAATCCTCATTTTCAATTCAACTTTCATCATCCACAAAATACATTTAAAATAATAATAATACAGAATTGTGCATCACTTTATTATTCTTAATGTACTTTGAATTGTATAATACTGTAAATAAATTAAATCTATTTTTGTACAGCGCTTTGGTCTCTTGGAAAAGCGCTTTATAAATCCAAATAAACAAATAAATGGATTTCCTTTGCCAAGGAATACAAAGTACAATAAAAAACTATTGACAGTCTACAGAGACAAATAGAAACAAATTAATCAGACAATGAATACAAAACACAAGGAGAGTTCAAAGATTTTTAGTTGGGAACAAATACCATTTTAAATGCAGACGAACTCTGAGAAAACAATGAAGAATTTAGATTTTTATTTTTAGTTAAAGTGCACTGTACTTAATACCCTATTCAGACTAGACTTTGCATTGCGATAGGTTGCGATGTAATCAGTGGTAAACAGTTGTAATCCAAATTGTTCGCAACCATTCGCAAACTTCGACAGCATTCAGACACCTTTTTACATTGATACTTTACATCACTAGGTCGTCCTGTTTTGTTTGACCTCAGCCAATCAGTGCCTGTGGAATCCGTTGCGATCTGATTCCGTGGTAATCGGGACTAATAATGATTGTAGCATTTATGGCCCATGTGAACGTTAAAGAACGCAGTACACTCTTCGGAAAAGAGTAGGGGATTGACTCCCGGTGTACTGCCCAATCACCACCAGAAGGACCCCACTGGAAATAAGCCTTCTTCTAGACTTTCGTGGGCTACCCTTGGTGTTTACACCGAATAAATCCAATCCAATCCAACCCAATCGCAACGGGTAACAATTGCGAAATCGACTACTTATCAACTATTATTGGTGAGCTTTCAGACACGACTTTACTATGCGATTGGGTGTCGCAATTGCTACAACTGATTGCAAGGCGAAGCTAGTCTGAATGGGGTATTAGTATAGCACTACATTACATTACAAAGAGAAGAACTATAGGCCTAGAAAAATAAATGAACTCACGTTCTTGGCACACTGCTCCTGTCCAACATTCCGGGCAAGTGCAAGTTAAGGCTTGGCAGTCGGCAGTCATGACACATGTAGCCCCATTCTGACATGGACTAGCATCACATCTGTCCACAGCTACAAACAAGAAAAAAAATTTCATGTATAACATAAAATATTGGTGGTGATTTTGCCAGTGTTCTTCCAGACTTGATTTAAAATTGGTTAATTGTCTGAATTTACAACTTCATCCAATAAACTACTCCAGTCATTCATCATTCTCGCTTAACTTTAAACTTATCATAATACATATTATTGTTATTATTCAAAACTTAAATAAACAGTAATAGGCTAGGCCTAGGCCCTAGGCTAAACCTAACAACGGATGCTCTCTTCCTTTTCTAGTAGTAGCGAGCGTTTTAGAAGGTTTAGTCTTGTTATTAATTCTCACCATACATTACCTGTGAAAACTGTCATTATTTGAAACAAAACTGCCATTATTTCGAAAAATTATTGTTTTTTTTAAATTATTATATTTATCATTATTTTAAATATGCCTTGATTCCTAGGCTAGCATAGGCAGGCCCCAGGTATTCGCTGAGGCTCTCGAATACAGTAACTGCGGCCTCTAAGCTTGCTTACTTACCTGTTTGACACCTGTCATCTAGGTAGCAACTTGTACATTGACATGCGTATGCGTTTTCGACAGCGTGTACGACACAAGTTCCTCCATTCATACACGGGTCCCAGTGGCAAGGGTCTAAAACTGCGAAAATGACAAATCAAGGAATACAGTTTTATCATTTGAGTATTCTTTTCAAGTATTTATCAAAATTAAACAAACCTATTTTGTTGAAGGACAGACAGACTTGCCAAAAAAGTTGGCTGAGGCTATCGGCACTGCCGCAGTGCGAAAAAAAGCTGCTGTTTTCTATCGGCACTGCCGCAGTGCCAAATAGCTGCAGTTTTCTATCGGCACTGCCGCAGTGCCAAAAAAGCTGCTGTTTTCTATCGGCACTGCCACAGTGCGAAAAAAAGCTGTTATTTTCTATCGGCATTATTGCCGCAGTTCGAAAAATGCTCCGATTTTCTATCGGCACTGCCGCAGTGCCAAAACACTGCAGTTTTCTATCGGCACACATCAAATGGATGTTTTTATCTATAGATTATGGTATCAATAATTGGTTAGGTCTAGCCTAGCCTATAATATTGTTAACGTTATATTATATATGTTTTATAATTAAATTATAATTATAGGCCCATACATAAAACAAAAAATAAAACAACAAAAATTTAAAAATAAAATAGTAGTAATAATAGTAATAATAA